TCGGGCGCCGGGTGCGCCCCCTGCGAGGCGCACTGCGCCAGCTGCCCGGCGAGCGCGGCCACCTGCGCCCTGTGCGAGCGCGGGTGGCTGCTGGACGTGCCGAGCTGCGTGACCGGGTGCCCCGGCTCGTCGGTGGCCCTGGGCGGGCTGTGCACCGCCTGCCACGGGTCCTGCGCCACGTGCTACGGGCCGGAGCCGGAGCACTGCCTCACCTGCGGCCCGGCCGCCCCGCTGCACCTCGACGGTGCTTGCCTTGGCGCCTGCCCGGCCGGCACCTACCAGGCCGGGCCAGCATGCCTCCCCTGCAGCGTCTCGTGTGCTGCCTGCTCCGGGCCCGACGGCAGCGAGTGCGTCTCCTGCCCCGGGGACCGGCTCCTCCTCGAGGGCCACTGCCTGTCCTCCTGCCCGGAGGGCTACTTCCCCCAGGGCAATGTGTGCCGGCCGTGTGCCCCCTCGTGCCGGACGTGCCGCGCCCCGGACACATGTGCCTCCTGCCCGGCGGGCGCCCTCCTGACCCCGGCCGGGGCGTGTGACACGGGCTGCCCGGCCGGCTGGCTGGCATGTGCCCCATCCGGCACATGCGTCCCCTGCCCGGAGGGCTGCGCCGAGTGCCGGCCCGGCCAGGCGCCCTGCTCGGCCGAGTGCACTGCCTGTGCCGCCGGGTGGGTCCTCTCGGATGGTGCCTGCCACGGGGCCTGCCCCCCGGGCCAGTACCATCCCCAGGGTGCGGACCGGTGTGCCTGGTGCGAGCCCGGCTGCCGGACCTGCTTCGGCCAGGCGGACTCCTGCACCAGCTGCCCGGCGGGGCTGGTCCGCACCAGTGCCGGCACATGCGCCGGCTCCTGCCCGGCCGGCTCGGCGCCCGTGGATGCGGCCTGCCTGCGGTGCCCGGCCGGCTGCGAGCAGTGCACCGCCGGCGAGGGCCAGGCCGGCTGCACCCTCGAGGCGGATGGCTCGCTCGCCTGCCCCGTCATGGGGTCCTGTGATGGGTGTGCCGGGGGCCTGTTCCTGGTGGACGGGTCGGCCTGCGTGGCGGCCTGCCCGCCCGGCACCTTCGGCCAGGAGGGGCCCCTCTCGCCGGTGTGTGCTCCGTGCCATGTGAAGTGCCGCGCCTGCACCGGGCCCGGGGCCGAGGACTGCAGCCGGGTGCCCGGGTCACGCTCTTCGCATGTTGGCCTGGCGGTGGGCCTGTCGCTGGGCCTGCTGTTTTTGCTGATCCTGCTGCTTCTGCTCGTGCTCTTCCTCGTGCGCCGGCACGCCGGCATGGCTGCCACCGGCAAGGACCCGGCGGACGCCGAGGACGCCACCATGCTGAACACCATCGTGGAGCTGGCCCTGCCCGGGGCCATCCTGGTGGGCGTGGACACGGACTTCCGGCCGCTGGATGAGCAGCTGGGCGCCGGGACCCAGGCGTCGGTGTATGCGGCGCAGGCGATCGGAGCTGGCATCGCCGCGCGGCTGGGCTGCCCGGACGTGGTGGCCGTCAAGAAGATGCGGCCCGAGGCCATGGCCCCGGTGCACCACGCCATGTTCCAAAATGAGGTGGCGCTGATGTGGCTGCTGCGCGAGCACGGCCACATCGTCCGGCTCTTCGGGTACAGCGAGCAGCCGCCGGCCATCGTGATGGAGCGCTTCGACACGGACCTGGACACGCTGCTGCACTCGGAGGTCCCCCTATCAAGCCTGCAGCTGGCGGACATCTGCCAGCAGTGGGCCTCCGGGCTGGAGGCCATGCACGCGCACGGGATCGCCCACTGCGACCTGAAGCCGGGCAATGTGTTTGCCAGCCAGCGCCCGGACGGGGGCTGGCGCGCGGCCCTCGGCGACCTGGGCACCAGTCGCAATCTCAATACCGACCGGTCGTCGGTCCTCGTCAACACCATGCCCGAGCTGAACGCCATGACCGTGCGGTACGCCGCGCCGGAGGTGATCGCCGCCTTCCTGCAGGGCGCCCCGCTGGACCGGCGGCACTTCTTCCCGGCCGATGTCTACAGCGCGGCGGTCATGCTCCTTGAGTGCATCACCCGGACCGGCCCCTGGCCCGGGCTGGCCCTGGACCAGATCGTGGCCGCTGTCCAGGCCGACGGGCGGCCCGACACGGCACCCCTCCCTGCGGACGGCCCGCTGGCCAGTGTGCGTGACCTGGTCCAGGTCGCTTGGCACAGCCAGGCCGACCGGCGCCCGGCCGCGGCGATCTTCCGCCAGCGCTGTGTGGCTCTCCTCCTCGCCACGGGCGGCGACCCTGGCCACACGCCGGCCGGCACATGCTGACCCTCAAATAGACCACACCCCCGGTGGAGGTGCGCCCCGAAATGCCGGCCCGCCAGGGCGGCGGGGAAGCCCAGCCTGCCGCCGATTCACGGGCCTGGGACTGGCAGGGGCGGGGGTTTGTCACACGTTTCAGGGGGCCACATTCTCCGGCGGGCATTTTGGGCGGGCCATTAATTCCGGGCTTTCTTTTCGCGCGTGCGCGCGCACACGCGTGCTTGTCTTGTGCGAGCGTACGCGCGTGTGCGCGTGTGTGTGCGTGTGTGTGTGTGTGGCGACCTTCCTGCTTGGTGGAGCGCCCCCCGGCCCTGGGGGCCGGCGACTTCGCGCCCGGGGGCCCGCTTTTGTTGTGTTGATCCTCACACGATTGCCGGCCCCTTCGAGCAGGGCTCCATCGACTTGGCAGGTGTGCCGCGCCGGGGGCCCTGTGCCGGGAAGAAAACAACAACACCACCAACAGCAGCCAAAGCAACGGCCAAAGTGATGGCCGAACCAACAACACTGGCAACAACAAAAACAACAACAAAAACAGCAACAACAACAACAACGGCAACAGCCCCTAGTGCCCCTCAGCATTCTCCCTGGTGGATGCGCCAGGCCCGCCAATACACACACACACACACACACACACACACACACACCCGCATGTATGCAGGCTACAGGCCAGACTCCATGCTCCCGTCCAGTGGGGAGCCAACCACGGGCTCCGGTTGTGGCCGGGTCGACCCTGGGCCCCCTCCCCGACGGGCTGGTTGCTCTCCCACGGGGCCCCCCGGCGCGGGCGGATGTGCCCAGCTGGCCGTTGGGAGCTGGCATCCCCCGGCCGCCCCCGACACCCCCCCCGCAGCCCGGCGTGGGCCTGCGCGTCGCCCAAGTAAAGGGCCTCCCCCCGCTCGACATGGCAGA